AAGAGTCACCAATACGATATGCCTCAGCCGATATGCTCTGATACATTGCGAAATTTTAATCCTTGCCTATGATAAGGGTTATAGCCTGTCTGGGCCCGGCACAGCCCAAATACCAGGCTTGAAATATAACCCTGGGCCCAGGTACACAGAAGCCTAGGCCAGGCTTTGGGCGTATGAATTTAAGTACTTTATATTTAACATATATAGTATTTTATATTATATGACATATAATATACGTATAAAATGTGTTATAACTTATATAACACAAGCCTAGGCCAGGCTTTGGAACCATTACTCTTCACTTTCAAACCCTTCTAAAAGACCTCCTTCAATGGCTCTCTGAGTCATTTGGCTTAGACCCTCCAGAGCTATAAGGAACAATAGGGAAGATAGGGTCCCCTTGTCTTAATCCTCTTGAACTTTTGAAATTTCCTCTTGTGGAGCCATAGATTAAAATAGAAAACTTTGGAGTTGTCATGCAAACTTTGACCCAATTTCTCCATTTCTGCCCAATATTCATTCTACTAGCATATGATCCAAAAATACTCAATTGACATGATCATATTCCTTTTTCCAAATCTACCTTTATAACAACTGCTTGCTTCCCACTTCTTCGCCTTGAGTCAATAAGCTCATTTGCAACTATCACATTGTCCTGAACACGCTTATTATGTACAAAAGCTCCCTGGTACCTAGAAATCAGAGAATCCAGCACTTTCCTCAACCTTAAGGCTAGCAATTTGGCAAGCAAAACATATTGTGGGTCATTTTATAATATTTATATTGTATACTATAAAACAAAACATATATATATAATATATAAATATATTGTGGGTCAGGCTAGGCTAGTAATGATCACCCCTACCTCTTGTCCCTCCCCCGAGTGAAATACCTCATTTGACCTCAAGCATTTCTTTTTGAGTTCCACCAAAGCAAGGCTAGAACAGACTCTTCCAATACTTCTCTAATGATCTGCTTTAATTTCCATCTCAGACATTCCATAAGATTTTGACCTTGCATTTGAAATTTAAAAGTCCCTTTTGATGAATGGTCAGTTGTCTACATCTTGCTCCACAAAACAAACAGTTAGGATTGTACATAATTATACCTACTCCTTATAGAATGGCCTTAGTTCTCCAATGTTGATACATCATGGAGCAAAGATCAAAGTGGATTAACTGTAATCTTGCACCTGACATGTGCATCTCCTTCACCAACCTAAAGATTTTCCTCTCCACTTCTGCTCCTATTAATCGGTTTGCTATTTCGAGGCCCCATTCTTCCATCTACCTCCATTGCCACCACAACGCAATGACACATGTTAGTCTCCCCAATTGTCAACCAAATACCCCCTACAAGCTTCTTCAAAATGCCAAAAATGTTGTGCAACAAAGACTTCAATAGAAGACCCTCATCCCCATTTCCCCTCCTATATATCATATGTGACACTTCAACTTGGAGAGAAATCCTACACTTTTTCCAATGGTAGGAAAATGCTAGGTAGAAATTCCAACCATACGGTTAGAACATAGAGTATTCCTTCTGAACCACACTTGACACAAAGAGTCAACAACTTGTATTTGGAGATATCTCTAATAGTTCTAATACTCTCAAGAGTATTCTTTCTCCACTTGCAAGTTGCAAGCCTCAAGAAACCTCTCCAGATATATCTAAAGTTCTGAACTTGCCTACCAAGTATATCTACAAAAGCATCTTCCCTCAACATCCCCCTCTAAATCTAAACATACATTCTGTCTGTAAACTTTTTCCCATAAATCATCTCTACAATGCCCTTACCCTTTGTCCACTCTTCGAAACCTGCTTCTTCCCTGTAGCTCTTTTTTTTTAACTTTTTCCCTGTAGCCCTTGTCTCTAGCAATAGGTATCCTTTCCAGTGGTTTGCCCCATCTCACCATCTTGCGTTCCCCTCTTGCATCCATCATCACCCACAGTTGAAAGCATTTACAGTTACCTCGTATCATTGAGCTATGCCTTACTCTACACCATATTAGATCAACCATTGCTCGTCAACGTTCATCCTCGTCAAGAATCATGCATTTTTATCACCACCAATGACCATTCAGTACTTCCAACAAACACATTCCTCTTGCAATATGAGGATTCCTCAGGTAAGCTTATTATAAGTCTAAAAGTTATCAGAGACCATTTGATAGCAGCTGAAATGGCTTAACTGAATAACTTGTTGCTTTGTCTTTAGTGATTAAGTTTTATGGTGGTTGTGAGCTCCTTAATGGCTGAAGCTGAAGTGCAGTTAATTACTATAGCCTACATGTTGTCAAGGCGTCGCCTAGGCGACTAGGCGCTCTTGGCAGGAGCCTTTTATAATATCATTTATATTGTTGTATCTTATTAATGTATGTGTTAATACATTTTATTATATGCTATATATATATATATATATCAATTATACTTTGTTTTAATGTTTTACTATTGAAATTTAAAAGATCATAGGGTTTTGAGAAGAGAAAAATAAAGAAAGAAAGAATAGAATAATAAAGTTCTTTTCTATTCTCTCTCTCTAATTAAATAAAACAGAAATTCCATCCTTGTTTTTTTTTTCTATTCTACTTTCCATCTTGAATATTTATCATATAAAGTTAATAACCTTCTTTATCTGCTAATTAAAATGAATTTGCTCTATTAAATACTTATTATAGTAGTATTATTTTTGAAAATAATGAAATTAATATATGTWMAAGATWTTTATCTTTTAGATGTGATGATTTGCCACATTTTTAGAGGAAATTTGATGTTCTTAATAAGGAGAATTGCTATTTTTTCAATTAACATACATGCTGAATGGTATATAAAACTAGGAAACTAACCAAAAGTCAGTTTTTTATATTATAAAATTTTTATCGCCTAGGCGACAAGGTGACTAGGCGCCCTAGTGTCGTCCATAATCATCTAGACACCTTGAAAACTATGATAGCCTCAAATATTTTATTGTTGTTATTGTTTAATAGTTACCAAAAAATAATTTATTGTTTAATTATCTTATCCACTAAAAGAAAAAGCAATAAGTCATCTAGTTTAGCAACTTCAGCCATTATCAAACAGGCTCTTGTCTTAGATAAATCCCCAACTGCCAAAGTAGCAATCATCAGCAGAATCACTTGATTTTCAAGAAGAATGCTCTCTCTAAAATATTTCTTTATGCCGATAAAGAAAGGATGAAAGCACAGCTTAAATCAAGCTTTGTTCAATGATATGGTTGAAAAAAACAAAACAAAACAAAAGGGCAGCAGCCTGGAAGGTAGATTACTCTCTAGGGGTGGCAGGATTATCTTAATTGGTTATGTTTAAGGTTCTAAAAGGAACAAAACCATTCCTCCATAAATTACTTTAGTTTGACACAGCAGGGGAGGAAAGATCACCGGATAGGCTTTGATCAAGTTTGCATCTCCTTGGAGCAAGGTGAACATCACTCAGGAAATCAGATGGGTATTGACAAAAGCATTTTTCATTTCAAAGTATTATGGGAAGATCCAACCAAAGAAGGCAAATGGGAAGAATATGACTCCTTCACTACAAACCCCTCATGCTTTTATAAATTTATCTGGTCTCTGACCAGAGACTCCTAAATCTAAATGGCTCCTTCACTACGAAGTCCAAATGGAGTTATATCTGGCAAAGATACAATAAGGCCATTGGGTGAAAACAAGTTATATAATGTGATAGTGCAAGAAAAATTGCTTTCCTTCAATTCAGTCCCCCAATGAAAAATTCAAGTTGACATAGATTTATAGAATTAGGTATTAAGTTGATTTCATGTTGGAATTGATTTTTAAATTACAAGGCAGAGTCTACAAACCATTTCTGTTTCTGGTATTATGGTACAAAAGATTTGAAAATTCTTTTGTAATATTTGTGAGGTTCCTTGCATTCTTACAAACTCTGCTAGTGAACCTTTTTCTTCAGGTGGCAAAACAAATCAAATAGTTTATTTTATCAGTAAAACAAAGCAAATAATTTCAAGAAACAGTGGAGCTGCATTGTTGGCATTCTCCACATTTTATGATATGAAATGTAATTTCACCTGTTTGCGTGCTGTTATAGAGGAGATTGAGTTTTGGTTGAAGCTTGTGTTTTAACCCAACTATTTTCCCAAGACTTGTTCAGAAATTAAAATATCTCTTATAGAAAAACTGGAATAAGAACATAATGTGATCAAACTGACCAAAGTAAGAACCATTAGATGGAAAGTCCCCATCTGGAAATGAGTGAAATTAATATTGATCGGGCTTCACACAACAACCAAGGAGAAAAGGGTGGAGGAGTTTCTCTTTGAATTTGCTCACTATTTACAGTTTGTACAGACACAGTGAAATCGACAGTGCTTCCTGATGGTCTCAGATATTGCAAACTGCAAAGAGATTTGCTTCCTGGACAGATAGGGAAACAGAAACTCTGAAAGTTTGGTCAACATTGTCAATGGTAGATATCCTTAGAATATAGGACATTGGACTCCTTTTTAACAGGTTCTCGATGGATTTATACTGGTGTTAGATCACATATAAAGGGAGGAAATGGATTTGTTGATTTTGTGGCAAATTGAACATACGGTAACAGATACAGCACAGCAATTTGGAATCAATTTGATCTTCCAAATGGCATCAATGAGATTCACAGGGAAGATACTGCAGTCATCCTTTATATGAAATTAGGTTTTTTTTTTCTTTTCATCTGTTTATGGGCCCCTGTGGCATAGAACTACTCTGTTTTCGGGGTCAGGCAGCATCTTCTCGTGCACTAGTTTTTCCTATTATTAGTAAAAGTTATGACCCAGCGCGCAGATGTGTAGGGGAACCTGGCTCTGTTGTGGGGTGTCTCCTGTTCTGAAGAACTAGGGTTAACCCATCATGGGAGGGCAAAGGGTCTGCGAGAAGCCCATCAAGCCTTTTTTATGACAAACAGAACAAAGTTGTTCTTAGACAAATGCAGAAGAGAATAAGAGAATAATAGGAGGTCTCACAGACCTGTTCAGGAAACTGACGGAGGATCTTTTGGTGTCGGGGCTGAGGAAGGATCCTTCCGGAGCTCCTTGACAACTGCTGCAAGTGATTCAGGATTCAAACCCAGATCGCAGAGGGTAATGAGGATGGAGAGAGTGTGACGATCAAGCCCTGTCTCAAGAATATTCGACATGTGAAATGCCAGGTCCAGAGATTCCCTGGCGGTCCGAGCGGCCTCCGGATCCATATCAAAGATCAGAAATTGAAAATTTCCCTCCCTTCTAAGAACTCAAACTCAAATAAAGTTGAAATCAAACAGACTCGAAATACAAAATTCGAGTGGAGTTCTCCAGATAGCTGTGCAGCGGAGACTTGGAGTTGGGGTCTTGGCAGGGATGATCCGGGGCCGGGCCGAGTTTAGAACCAATGATAAAGGCTTCAGCCTAGCCCGGGCCCTGACCGGCCCGCACCACAGGCCTAAATTACAAGCCTGGACTCGCTCCTATATGGACCAGGCCTAATGAAAATTTCTAATTATTTAGAAAATTTTGAATTAAATAATATATAATTCATGAAAAAAATATTGCACCACTTGGGCTTGGTCAAATTTTACCTATTGCTCCATCCAAAAATAAGGAATGAGCCTCATTTAATTCTTAGACTTGTCTTACATGTTCTTATATAAATGAAGATAATGCTTCCATTTTTTATAACCCCCCTCCCCAAAGTCCATGGTTGTGGGAATCGAATTCGTGTTTATGCCTAGCCAATATACCAATTAGGGTTGCAAGTCGGGCCAGGATAGGTCGGGTTGAGGCCAATTCTAACTCAATCTGAAGTTCTAAACCCCCACAACCCTAATCCTAACCCAACCTGACCTACCCAACCCTAACCCTAACTAAATTCCTTCAACCCTAACCCAACCAAAAGTTAATTCCGGGTTGGGTTGGGCTCAACCCAAGCCTAACCCAACATTCTTCTCATCCCTTATAATCTTGTAAAACTTCTTAATCTCATATCTTAACTCAACTTTTACTACATATATTAATCCTATGTTTTATTAGTATTTGTTTGTTGATGTTTTTATTGATTCTTTAAATACAAAATTCAGAGAAAAAAAAAGTGTCTGAAATGACTATAGTTTATTATGAGTTATGACTTATAATAGATCTTTTTATTCAAAAGTTGGTTTTTGGGAAGGTGTTTATACATACTTTTTATTTATAAAAAAAAAAAAAAAGAGGGCTCCCAAAACACCTATAAACATGTGTTTTGAGACCCCAACAATATGATACAATATGCTGGATATGGAGTGTATCATATGGAAATTTTAACTTGATAAGGAAATGAACAAGAAGAATAAGAGGTTTGTTAGAAGGGTGAGAAATGAGCAAAGTAGAGAGGGAAAATGAAAGGTTTAATATTTTCAATGTTTGTGTGGGAAAATGTGATTCCTTCAAATGTCTTGGTAATTTTTTATGCTTAGGAGAGTATCTTTATGGTGGCGCAGAAGATCTTACCAACCAACTAGTTGGCACTTTGCAAAATAATCATTTGCAAATACGATAAAGATTTATACTGTGCAGGCCAAAGTCTCCTCAGTCAAACATGTGGCTCTCTTCTATTAAGACACTTGTCCTTTTAAAAAAACCATTAATTCAAACCCATGCATTCATAGACGTGTGGCATTGTAAGTTCGTGACAAGTGGGAAGCTCCGAGAAATGAGGAGTGGAAGCTCCCACTCTCTATCGGTTCCTAAAAAAAGGAGAATGAGATACATTTCAATGTTTGCATCTCAAGCACGTCTCCAACTTTGAGAAACCTTTCTGCTCATTCATCTTAGTTGGTGTTGTAACTGAAGTTGAAGACTCCCGCCGCACTCACGGTCACCTCCACCCTCTTCAGATTACTTCAACAAAGCAGCCGTATAGAACGTCATATCACTTCCAACCTCCAAGAAACTGGTAGCTATATCTCTTACTGATTCCGTTCTTTCCTTCAAATTTTCTCCATTACTGCTTTTTTCTTTTCCTCTGAATTCTTTGATCATTTTTTTTTCATGTTTTTTGACATGTTAGTGAATGGAAAACGGCCATCTTGGTTCTTGAATGCACAGATCCTAACAGCCATCTTGGTTCAAGGAATCTCCTTTGTGAAACTGCAATCCTCATTCGAACCTAAACGCTTTCAATCCTCATTCGAACCTAAACGCTTTCAATCCTCATTCGAACCTAAGCGCTTAGCCTGATTTCTTCAAACTTTATTTTCAGAGAACCGCTTTCAATCCGGTTAGTCTATTTACATTTCGTTAAACATTTCTTTCCTGTATGAATCTCTGTTTTCGTTAAACATTTGTTATTTAAACTTGATATGTTGTTGAAATGGGTGGTAAAAAGCACCCATTTTTATCTGCCGAAGCCTTTTGTTTTGGTCGCTCTATCAGCGACTGAAACTTTTTCATATATATTTAGATTAGTTTTCATTCATTCTTTAGTTTTCCATTTAAATAATTTGTACTTATGTTAATCTTTTAAACCTGTTTTGTTGTTGAAAAGGGTGATAAAGCACCCATTTTTTGGCTAACGCAGCTTACTTTTTTCCTGGCTCAAACGACCGAACGAAATGAAGTTCGGGTAAAGAAGATGAATGATATGGTTTGCTGGGTCCGGTTCAGGGGCAGTTCACATTATTATTACAAACCTTAATACTTCATTAATTTATTAATGAATATTAATAAATACTGTTATTTATATTTTAAAATATAGATAATTAATAACGATTTAAATTCGAACTATTAATAATGATACTTAGTGATAATAATGACCCTCATTAATTCGGACTATTCAAATCCCAAAGAGATAATTAATAACGATTTTTTACTTACTAATAATAACTACTGATAATTAGTTCCCAGCAACGATAATTAATTATTAGTAATAATTATTTATGAATAATTACTGATAATAATTAATTAACAAAATTACTTACTGCTAATTAACTAGAGATAATAATTATACTTATTAATTCAGACTGATAATTAATAATGATATTAACAATTGTAATTATTAATTTGACTATGATCATTTAATATTCATATTAATTCATAAATATATAAGTAAAGTTAATTATTAATATTATTAATATCAGTAATAATAATGAATAATAGTGTTATTATCCATTAAAATTAATTACTGTTAGTTATATTACCGTAAATTAATAAATACATTAATTTAATTATATTTATAGTAATTTCTTAAATTACAGATAATTATCATAAATATTAACTGTGATTATCAAAATACTGTTAATTAATTACTATAATTACTGTTTATTTGAATTAATCAACAGTAATTTCATTAACCAAAATTTCAATATATATAAACATTTAAAATAAGTGATGATTATTGCATATTTACATTTTATACTTATTTTCAGTAATAATAATATTAATTATTATACTGAATAATTAAATATTATAATATTATAATACTGAAAATTTTTTAAAATAAGTCTGAATTTATAATATTACTGATAATATTATTATTTTCAATAATAAAATATTATTACTTAATTTAATAGTTACTTAATTTAAAATATTATGTTAGTAATTATTTTCAGTATTTAGGAAAAATAAATACTTACAATAAGTCTGACTTTTCAAAATTTCACATTTATTTTCAAATTAATGTAATTACTGTAAAAGCTAATTATTATGTGAGTAATTATTGTATATTTTTCAGGGAAATATTTAATAACTGAAAAATGATAACTAATTATTTTGAAACCTGAAATTTCAAAATAATTATTGAAAWTTACTGAAATATGTTAATGGTTATTGAAATTACTTATTTTATTTATTGCCATGAATAATTATTATTTTCAAATAATAACATTTTCAGAAATTAATGTACTTAATTAATTTCAGTAATTACTGTTTATTTGAATTAATCAACAGTAACTTAAAATAAGTAATGATTATTGCATATTTACATTTTATACTTATTTTCATTAATAATAATATTAATTATTATACTGAATAATTAAATATCTAATATATCTAATATATACAATTATAATAACCAGTTAATGTTTCATCCCAATTAATAATTAACATTATTAAAATACTTATTAATTATCATTAATTAATTAGCATTCCGAAGTAATAATTACCATCATTAGTTTTAGTAATAATTAATTATAATTATTGATAATAATAATAATAATATGATTATTATTATATATACTAACCGGATTGAATTATTAATGATAATAATAATAATTCAATTGAATTGTTAATATTTGAATTGCATACATGCGGATGGATACCTTATCCAGCAGGAAGAGAAGGTCGCATCGACGTAATGAAGCCCCTTCCCGCCTTAATTACCATATTTTAAAGTGTAATTAACAGTATTTTGATAACTACAGTAATTTATTTTATAATTACAGTATTTTAATGCATTACTATAAATACATGAAAAATAATGTAGTTATTAATTAACAGTAATAATATTTTGAGTAATTCAAATTTTTAATAATTATATCGAGTTTTTAGATTTTGATATTAGTTATAATAAATTATAATAAATATATTCAATAATTATTAGTTATTTTAAAATATAATAAATATTCCAAAATATACTTGAAATGGTAATAAATGTTCAGTAATTATTTTGATTTTTTATATTTTGATGTTATTATTTTTATTTTCAATAATTTCATATTTGAAAACAATATTTAAAACCAATTATTATCAGAATTTTCAGATCTTAAAACTACTAATTTCACCAATTATCTGAACTACTCTAACTAATTCTCACAATAATTATTTAAATTTTTTGTATTTTGAAATTAATATTTTTTATTTTCAATAATTTAAGATTTCAAAACATTATTTTAAATCAACCTATTCTGGTTTTATTAATTGGTAACTAATTAATTACATTAATTTCTAAAGTAGTTATAATCAATAAATAATTTTTATCAGAAATCATTATTATTAGTAATAATTAGTGATAATAATAATAATAATATAATTATTTTCAATCGGTTTAGTAGTCTACTACATTTTTTGTATTATTAATTAATGATAATTAATAAGTATTTTAATAATGTTAATTATTAAATACTAAAATAATTTAATAATAAGAATAAGAATGGTTAAATTAAAGTAATAAACGGTTCAAGTTGAATTATGGGGTCATTCACTAGTATTCTATACATATTATATTTATAGAGACTATTATTACTAATATATGCCCTGTATATATGAGAAACTACTTATATATACCCTAAACTTTCAAAAACAACTTACACATGCCTCGTTGACCCATTCAATGGTTAAATCTAATGGATTTGATGAAATTCAAAATATACCACTCAATCATTCAATGGAGAGAACATTGACATATA